GAAGTCGTTACTCTGCTAGAGAGAATAGTTAGTATAACACTAAAACTACGTAACATTTTTTGCATCGATAAAAACAACTTCAAATTCGTCAGAGTGTTAAGATTGTAAGAGTTTTGAATTAAATTAATGTTTTTCTAAAAATGTATTAGGGTATTTTTAGCCCAAAGGGGCGGTACCCTAGAAGGGCTATTAGTCTCAAAACGGTATTTTGTGGCATCTCACTATAAATGACAAATAACTTTTCAAATTGTTGCCACCAAATATTATCGCCGTCTATTATAATTAAAGAAACTAATAATGAAGAATCATATGTATGTTTCTGACATTATGAAAAACCGAGGGAACCTAAGGCATCAAATTTTGAATAACGTAATCCTCCACCGGAACATGGACACGAATTTTGATTTTGAATTTTGTAAAACTTTAACGAATTTTTGATTAACAAACTCAACGATTTCAGAGCAATGGCAACACAATACGAAAACAAAAATTTATCCCCAGCGCGCGAAACTGTCTATCGGAAATTTTAAATATATGCTCTTTTAAAATATTTTGTGACATTGGTAGAATTGAATTTTATATGGTTAAAGAACAAAGATCATGCTACTTAATAAATAAAGGTAACAGAAAAAACGTTAAAAAAACGCCCACTTGTATGTAATGTAAAATCCAAAAGCTTTCAGTTTTTTTTTTTTTTTTTTTTTTAAATTCCTGTGGATGTATGAGAATTGAAAAATATTAAATGCTCTCGCCGAGATTCTATCTCCGGACTTCTCGAACTACGCATGGAGTGTGCTACACGAAGGCATACGGAAAGGAGGGAGAAAACTTATAAAAATACGTGTTTTCCTATACCTGTCAACTTGGCGGGTTTCTATAAATATAGGTGGTATACAAATATGTCTGTAAACCGAATGTTAAATGCTTTGGAACTTGAACTAAATTGCCTAACTTTTAATGTCTGATTTAATAGAAGGAAACATGAAATTTTGCGTGACTAAAGCATTATAAATATACGCATACAATTAATATTTATAACATTTAAGTACCATTTCCTAATCACCTTTAGGAAGTTTATTTCGCAGAAACTTGCCACTAATAAAGAATTTCTCATGCTAGCTCAAGGCAGAGCGGTTAATTACACTATCCGCGGTTCTAATTTATCTTTAAGTGGAGGAAATACTTCATTATCTGTTAGGGAGTTATCTTTCAAGCGAAACATTAAAAATGGAATGCCGTATTCGCTACGGACCATTTTCTGTCGCAAAGATCACACGTCAAGATTATTCGCGGTCGTAGACCCTGAAAGACAAATTATCAGCTATTTGCTGTTCGGGAGGAGACTGTAAACGGAATTTTTTTTGCGTTAAGCACTTCTTGGTACGAAAATATGTGTTTCAGGGTCACTCTGGGTCAAGGTGAGGGATGTCATTCTGTTGAAAGGTGAGCGGAAATCCATGGTATAAAAGTAGGTGAAGCGTTGGTTGCTCTCAAAGTGAAGTTAAGATCTTTGGAATCATTAGATGTCATGAAAAAAGGGTGTTAAACGAAAGACGGTTTCTTTTTCTTCCTACACAGACGACGGGCGTTGGTGACATTAGAAATGTCTGTAATATATATAGTCTGCCTATTTTTGTACTTTACGTTATGATATTTTAGCAAATCAATCATTCACGCTGCCTCACGTATTGACAGTTCTGAGAACTATTGTCATTCCTTGGGAAAAACTACTTTTATATTTCAGTGTGATTCTGAATATTGAGTTTCAGCTTATAGCAAAGATTTTAGTGTTACAAACTAATATATTTGTCACAGTAAGTCGTAACCTTTTTTAGGTTAATTTTATTTTTTACATTACATTAATACACCACTTAATAATGTAGAAAACGAGCTAGGTAAAAGCAATATGTTTTTCAATAATTTAAGCAGCTATTTATGATAAAGTATTTGTAAATACTGATTATAATATATCTAATCGATAATTTTTTACATTAATACATGTACACTTAATAATGTAGAAAACAAAGCAATATGTTTTTCAATAATTTAAGCAGCTATTTATGATAAAGTATTTGTAAATACTGATTATAATATATCTAATCGATAATTTTTTACATTAATACATGTACACTTAATAATGTAGAAAACAAAGCAATATGTTTTTCAATAATTTAAGCAGCTATTTATGATAAAGTATTTGTAAATACTGATTATAATATATCTAATCGATAATTTTTGTAAATGCAGTGACAATGATTACAGACGATATTAAGGTTCTGTATAAGTAATCACCTTTGAGTGGTGATGTCAAATACCAGATATTTACTTTCATTCTTAGACCCAGTAATCAGTTTCCAGAGTACCGCATATGGAAATTTACTTATGAATGGTTTTACTCTGTAACTGATCGCTAATGATATTAAAAGGAATCGTTAATGATAGTAATAAAAGACGTCACCATTATGATTCCGTACCTTTGTTTAAGAAATAATAATTTGTTGTAATAAATTGCGCATGTGTTATATTTCCTTAAATAAATTATGCATGCTTATATTTGGAGTTTCCGATAGATATAAATCAGAATCTGATACAATGAATCATATCATGGTGATCGCCTTCCTAAGCTTATCATCTCTGAAGGCGGTCAGTATTTTCTGAGAGTATAAATAAACGGTATTGAACGTCACTTCTCTAATACCACCATTTCCACAAACGAGCAATATCCTCTCTAGCAATGGATAATAATTTTATGAAAAATTCACTGTGTATGATAAAGGGAAACAGGTAACAGGTACTTGCGTATTATTTGCCTTAAACTAGTTTTAAAATATGAGCTTGTGGAATTTGCCAGCAATGGAAAAAAGTGTGGTAAAAGTTCTCCAGAAATACAGAAGAAAATTTTCTAAACGGAAAAACTAGGAAATGCGTTTCATCGAAAGCCACTGTTGACAGGGATCGCACGAAATGGATTTCCTAAAGTATGCTTTCTTTTCAGACGTTGATAATGATTACATCTTACTATAAAATATCGATAGTTTGGGAATGTTTCTAAAAAAAGGCGGAATTTTTTTTCAGTTGCTCTCTTAGAGGCATGTTGTTTCTTTTATCCATTCTCATTTTGCTAGCTCAAAAGAAGTGTTCTTGAAAATGTTTGAAAACTATAGTGTTGCGAATTTAATCACGTTACACAATTCCTGTAGCTAATTGCTATTTTTTTAACATATATGATATTTATGTTAAATGGAAATCAAGAAGGTTGCATATTTATGTTTTCAAAAAGGAAATCTCAGTCATATTCAAACCAAAATATTTATATCGTAAAGTGCTTAAAATATTAACCAAAATTGACAATATGAGTATACGCGTTAAGAACACATGCTTTTTTAAAAGCCTTTTGATAGTTTTAGTAAACACTATTCTGGCTAGTGAAATTGGAACTTTAATTTCCGCTGTCTAAACTAATGCGTTACAATAGACTTTCACCTTACAATGACAATGGGGTTTAGTTGTGCATGGTCTTGGGTTTGCTGGGTCTTGATTTTGGGCCTTGGAATACCGGAGACTTGCAGTGCTTAATGAAGGGGGTTAATGCTGTAAATATTTGGCTCAATTTATTTCTTTTTCCCATACAGTTCGTTATTTCCGTGAAAGGGCGATATCTGTAGGAAACCAATAACTAAGTTTTCTGCCTTTAATAATTTCAGCCCTTTCGTATGATTTCACACCTTAGTTCTTTATGAACTGTATCCCGCCCTGGTAAATGTCCTTTGCTGCCGCAATTCCAATACTTTAATATACTATTAGCGCTCCTTTACATTTTGAGTATTGTCCACTGTCTCCAGTCTTTTGAACAGCTTCGTCATCGCGACTTATTGTTGACGTCCCCAATAGCATTATTTTATTATTGCTACTTAGTGAGCTAAATGAATTTAGTAACAACTCAAATTCTACATCTATGTTTTTCGAAATTCGAGTAAAGTTATTTCCATATCTCGCATGTAGCTTAAAAAGAAATAGATTTTATTGCAGTTACGGCAGCATTAAGCAGCTCTCCTAAAATAGATTACCTCTCCAGCATCGCGTTTTGTCGTAACTTAAGTAATTTATTTATACTCTTAAATCTAGTTACTTAATGCCAAAAAAACTGAAAATATTCCTTTTTATTATGTAAGCATTTATCCTGGCTGAAACTTGCCATGCATGCATATTAGCATTCTTTTTATATTTGCGACATCTAATGTTTTCCTAATGTTTAAAAAAAGCAGTAAGTAAAAATTCTCATGTTTTTAAAACCAGAACATAAAGAATAAGTTTTTATTCCTCAGTAATACAAAAATGAAATATTAGACACCATAATGTGAGTTTTATTATTCATATTTATTCACAAGTTGAGTATTATTTCATTTTGGATGTCAGCTTGGAAATTTTTGGCATCGTGCAATTTTAAATATATATATATATGAGAATATTTAAATGAAATATTTAAGGTGGTTGAATTAAGCAAAATGTTACTTACTAAAATAATTTTTAAAAATGCAACGTTTCCTAAACCATTTCAAAAAACTTATTTCCTTGAAAACAGTTAATTTTCTTTTTCAGTTGATCTTGGTTCATAGATAGATAGACCTTTATTTTTGTTCAATTTTTTTTAAATTCAGGCTATATTTTCAGGATTGCAAAGTTTCAGTTTGCAATTGCTTTTGAAATATTTCGACTTCATTGTAAATCATTTTCACTCTAAATAAAAAGTGCGTAAATGAGCTAATGATTGGATTATAATTGCAGTCGCACAATATAAAAATTAAATAATAGGAGATAAGTCAAACTAACTAAAAGACTGATGAGATAAAAATTGAGTTATGTTAAAATCTTTATTAAATATTCATCATGACGCACAAAAACATAAATAATGTATATGATTTACCAACAGAAACTTTTTCTAAATCACCAACTAAATAAATATAGGATAAAAGAGATACATAAGGTTTCTTTGTAAAATAAATCCCTTTATTTCTTATGAAAGAAGGAAAACAAAATATATATTTACATTTAAATGAAGTGAATCAAATTTTTACCTTGAACTGTCATCTTATAATGCTAATTAATTTCTTGATAATTATAATTGTTTCCAAATACATTTGGCATATCATAATGACACAGTTATTCATTAAGCATTATATTATATAGTAATAAACTCTATTAATGGAAAGAAATAGTGCATTAATCTGAAAAAAGTATGTTTAAAATATAAGAATGAACATTTGATAAGTCCAACTCAGAAATAAAGACATAAACTTATAACATGAAGAGTAAGACGAACAGTTTGCTTGATCGGTAGATTCTTGTTTCCATTCCTTTAAGTACCAGATCAAAATGACCTGAAAAAGGAGTCATTCAAACACTTACATTAGAATATACTATTTAAAACCGAGAATAAGATATAATAATATTCATCTATATCGCAAACAATTACAAAGCAAGCGCACGATTCTCAGAGCGATTAATAGTTAGTCCTGGTTTCCTTTTAAACAATAAATTAAAAAGGTGTATTTGCAGACTGTAACAATTTTAATCACGTGACATCTTTTAGCAGCCATTAATATGTTCTAATTAGAGGGTTTCTCCAAATCTTATGAAGTGCTTTTTAGAGGACTCTGCTTTATAGTAAATTATCAACTCTGAAGGATTGCCAGACTTTTAGGTCATTTCTCAAGAAAGGAAACGATGAAAATGCCAATTTCAAATGTCATAAAAACTTAATTGCATTACATTAAGAAATTTCAAAATTATTCATTTCTAGCAATGTTCGCTTACTAGGAAAGCTAACTATGCAGCCAGTCCAATGTCTTGAATTCAAATCCGGTTCGAACTTCCAATATTCAGAATATACAGTGGCCTTAACAACTCGGCTATTACTAAGGCCAGTGACCCTAGATAGGGAATATCTTTAAAACAAGCTGTATATGCATAGAATTTTAAATAATTTTAATGTAATTCATGAAATATTTCTTTAATATAATTTCTGTGCTGATACATTATCCATCATTTATATTCATACTACCTTATTCAATGAAGTTCAGACTTATAATGCTTATTTATAATTTTATATATTTGAAGTGCAGACTTTGTAATACATTATACGCAGAATATTACTTAATAAAATATAACAAATATATAATCTGCCCAAGTCAAACGAAAATGCAAACAATTAGTAATTACCTTTAAAATAAGAAATGAGTACCAAAAACTAATCTATCTTATTCCCGAAATTAGAACCAAAAATCAGTCATTCTGGACAAGTACCGATGCAATATGTTACATACGAAATCTCAATCAGAATGAGAAATCAGATATTGTGAATAAGCACTGGTGCTATAACGATTATTCGTTTTCTTAAAGCTCGAATAAAGCAGGAACCATACATCTTATTCTTTTAATTTATACTTTTTAGGCAGTTATTGCTGCTATTTACAAAAATTTCTTTATGCAAGTTGAAAATAGTTATTTTCATGAGGGGAAAAAATTCCATTTATTGTCAAGAAATGTTAATCAAATTTTATGCATCAGGATCCGAAACATCCTTTTGCATTCGTGAAATAAAACATTTACATAACGTATAAACTACAAATTTTGAATTCAATTATTAAATTTTACTGAATATAAGCATCAATTAATTTACTGAAATTACTAATATTTTAAAATTTATATGCCTGCTTCCTTAATCAGCTATTACTTTAACTTATCTCTTATTATTATTCATTATTATTATTATATTATGTATCTATAATTGCAATTTATGTGTGACAGCAGCGCAAAGACTTTATTACATGGTACTTAATTAAATTCATACTGAAGTAAAAGTAAAATTTTTTTATTCAAAATTGTGCCTAAATGTGCTAAAAGTAATAAAAGTTATATTAAAATTAAATATTATTTAATACAATAAATTTTTGGAGTAAAGAAATTCTAATCACGGTGAAATTATTTGCTTGGTATTAACTGTAAGCCTTCAGTTTCAGCTTATACAAATCTAATTTTAAGTTTATAGGTTTTATAAACACAGTTTTCCTTATGCTATCTCAAAATGTACGGAAGATCATGGACTTTATCCTGATCATATCTTTCAATAAATGTTTTTATTTAGCATCAGCATGTTCGAAATCATAATAAGATAATAAGATTTTCCACTTTAATCAGAATAAAAGAACAGAAAGGGAGAAGGGAAAAAAACGAAGAAGAACTTAATCAATCTAAAAATGTTTTGTTGCATAAAAAAGTACTTATACAAATCTAATTTTAAGTTTAATTTTAAGTTTATAGGTTTTATAAACACAGTTTTCTTATGCTATCTCAAAATGTACGGAAGATCATGGACTTTATCCTGATCATATCTTTCAATAAATGTTTTTATTTAACATCAGCATGTTCGAAATCATAATAAGATAATAAGATTTTCCACTTTAATCAGAATAAAAGAACAGAAAGGGAGAAGGGAAAAAAACGAAGAAGAACTTAATCAATCTAAAAATATTTTGTTTCATAAAAAAGTACTTATACAAATCTAATTTTAAGTTTATACAAATCTAATTTTAAGTTTATAGGTTTTATAAACACAGTTTTTCTTATGCTATCTAAAAATGTACGGAAGATCCTGGACTTTATCCTGATCATATCTTTCAATAAATGTTTTTATTTAGCATCAGCATGTTCGAAATCATATATAAGATTTTCCACTTTAATCAGAATAAAAGAACAGAACGGGAGAAGGGAAAAAAACGAAGAAGAACTTAATCAATCTAAAAATATTTTGTTGCATAAAAAAAAGTACTTATACAAATCTAATTTTAAGTTTATAGGTTTTATAAACACAGTTTTCCTTATACTATCTCAAAATGTACGGAAGATCATGGACTTTATCCTGATCATATCGTTCAATAAATGTTTTTATTTAGCATCAGCATGTTCGAAATCATATAATATAATAGATTTTTCCACTTTAATCAGAATAAAAGAACAGAAAGGGAGAAGGGAAAAAAACGAAGAAGAACTTAATCAATCTAAAAATGTTTTGTTGCATATAAAAGTACTTTGTTTCAAAACAATAACCCTAGAAATTTTTATTCCATTTTATTTCAAAACATAAACTTAAGAAAATCAAGTATTCTAACGCAAATTACAATCTAAATTATTTTATCGAATATTTAATTCTAGCATGTCTTATTCTTTTAAAGAATTCTCTTCCTTCACTAACTGATTGATTATAATTCACCTGTAAGTTTATATTGACTGGCGTTTAATATAAATTTTAATATCTTTATTTAGTTAGATATTTTTCTTTTTATAGAAACTGTTATTGTTACCGGCAAATACAAGCGTAATTCGGTTATTAATTTTACTGGTTTGAAAGATAATTATTTCTGTGTAAATGGGACAAAATTCCTATCATATAGCGCGAATTTCGCTTTCGTTCTTAGAACATTATTGAAATTTGTGAACTGTTCCATGTAAACAGAATATTTCGTAGAAATGTTTATTATTAGATAATTTTTTATAAGAAACTAGAAACTTTTTTTCGCCATCATCAATCTTAGTTTGACGTTCATTCAATCTACTAAGTTTTTAAGCAAAATCCGCTCAAAATTATGCAGCTTATTAAACTGCGTTGCTCATTTTTCGAAGTAGGAAACACAATAGAAATGGAAACTTTTCTATTCTTCTTATGGAAATTCTTTTTATGGAAATTCCATTCTTCTTATTCTACTTCTTATTCATTCTCTCTTAAATTAACCCATTCTTCTTATGAGCTACTCGAGTTTGGTAACGTATAAGCAGCTCAGTATTGAAACTGTACCAAGAAAGAAACATACGGCAGTGCAGATTGAATGGATTGCACGTTTAGCTAAGATAAACAAATGTTCAAATTTTGAAACCCCTACCTTCAATCAATGACACGCAAGAGCACCTGAAATTGTATGAAAGCCTTATCGAATGTACGTTTTTTCCTCCCAAGTGAAACTTAAGAAACCAGATAAAGTTTTATGGTTTAATAGAACTCGTCGATGCGCCACAGAATATCTCTGTTTCAAAAGTAAGGGACAGAATCTTTGAACTAACAAATGTTCCCTTACCGGCATATTTCTATATATTTAGGCTATTTTATTAGCATTGTTTAACATTGCATATCTAAGTAATTGAGGCAGAACTAACTAAATCGAATGACAACAAACAGTGGCCAGAACCGAACTTTTGTACGGACAAATCGTCGGATTAGAAGAATGAATTGCATGATTATCTCTCTACTGTGAGTAAATTTGGATGCTACATACTGAATTTAGGTAATCAGCGCAATATCCACGAAAACTATCAGGTGGCGCTTACACGATACAAGGCCGGATAACCAGGAAAAACCTATAGGCCAGATAACCAGGAAAAAGTGTTCCATTCATCCACCGCTTTCAAAGCCTGTCATAATGTCCATCCAGTTGGTGATGTAGGCTAGAATTGAGGACTTCTTCGGCTATGGAACTTGTTACTGCCACGGAAGTAATGACGGTCAGAGATTAATCGGGTGATCACTTGGACACCGTGATCAGGTGATCAGTAAGACGGATCCTGGAACACCTTGCTAGATCTTTAAAAAGAGAAAGTCATATGGGCCATGTGTCTGGAATGATGATCTGGAGCGGCGTAATGTAATGCAAGATAACCCCTCTACTCTTACTTTCTAGTATATTCACAGCTGTACATTACGTGGCTTGATAGCGACGTCTTCTACAAAATACCCTGTGATCTATTCTTTAACTATCTCTTTGCGTCTTCTACGAGATATCCCTGAGATCTATTTTTTAACTATACTTTTAGCGTATTATCCGTTTTTTTTACTATATGTATATATATAAACACAATGAATTTGTGCATAACAGAGATGTATTTTTTCACTTGCCTGGAAATTAATTAATGCCATTTAAACTTCTTGTACACTTATAAGGATCTTAAGTTTTATAACGTTTATTTTATTTTAAAACTATACTGTCCTCTCTCATTTTCTACTTCCAGCCAGAATAAACGCATTTAGTCTGTTCATGCAAATTGTGCTTGCAAACTCATAAGTATTTAAATTGCGGCTTTTCGCCAAGAGAGTTTAGAGAGAAGAGAGAGAGGAAGAAAGTGAAGATATCTCGCCACTTTACTTCACGTGCGTTTCCAAGTCAGTTGATATCCGCCTTTAAGGCCAGAGGTTTAGTCCTCTTGACATTGAAGACGTATTGTAGTTTCCCGCAGTTTGCGTACTACATACGTAAAAATCTAAAAGGCCAATCTTGGTGTTATTAGTCCATGTAAAGTATTCGAGTTTAGCTCTTATTTAAATTTAGTTAGT